GGGTCAATTATTAATTTGGGGCATAAAAATATATCAATTCTATAATTCTTTCAATCTGGAATTCAAATAATCTAAAATTTGAGGTTGCTTGGATACAAAATTTCTAAACAAAAAATCAAACATTTTTTTTTTGGTACAAAGAAAGGAGATTAAAGCCTGAGACCATCAGCCATTTATGTTTCGCGAGTAAGCAATGTCAATGAGGTCATATTGTAACCACGGTTTAACTACTGATGATGGTCTAATAATCGTTGACAACCACTAGGACAGTGATGAGCTAGAGTCGACACACAGTCGGCCGCAAAGTTAACTTCTCCATAACAATGAATCACATTGGCCTCCCAATCCCGATTAATCAAGTCCCAGATGGCACGAACCAAACTACCATGCACTCCAAGATTTTCCGTTAAGCCCCATTTCACTATTGTCACCACACTTTTATTGTCTACTTTCACGATAATCTTACGATACTCAAGTCCTAGGCTAGCAATAATCCTTGGAAGAGGCCCCATTACTCTGCTTCTGTGATAAAACAATATCCAATATTCATCACAAACCCCCCAAGCCAACGACCCTCTGCATCACGAACCAAACCCCTAGCGGACGCCATCCCAGATGAAGCCAAAAAGATCCATCAATGTTAATTTTGACAACTCCACTTCTAGGAGCGTAACTCAACTATTTTATTTTTTAACTCCACTTTAACGCAATCATACTATCATCAATATAACTAATTAATATCAATTAATAATTTTTACATACCACATCAACTTTAATTTACTATCCATTAACATCACATAATTTTAGATAACCATCACTTCACACCATCTCTCTCCTACTTTTACGTCAAATCAACTTTAATTATTTTATTATAAATATTATTTTAATGTACAACTAATAACTACCCATACCACTTTTTTCAAAATTAGCCAAATCAAACCAAAAAATTCAAATAAAACAAAAATATTCTTATATCCAAGCATCCCCAACTTCTATCAGTTTGGTATTTAAAAGATGATCAATTATCAATCTGAGACCTGTAAAATAAAAAACTATATTCGGAATTCAAAAAAATTAAGTTAGCAATTTAAGACCCTAAAGGTAAAACTAAAATCAAATTTTTTCATATTTTTTTTTGTTTTATATAGATTAGTGTGTAACCCGTGTGATGCACATACTGTATTTATTTTCGGGATTTTATAAATTGAAGGTTATTCGACAATAAAAAGTTATCATACACATGGTAGTTATCCATTTATAAAAAGGTTCAAGATAAAACTATATTATATATTGAAAACCTCATTGTACACAATGTTATTAATTAATTTTTGGGTAATTCGCCGTCCTCACAAACAAATATTTTCAACCCTTTTCACTTATCGACCTGATTATTTATTTATAGAATTTTATTGAAAATAATTGTAAAAGATATATTTTATAATTTTGAATATAAAATTTTAGATATATTAAAAATTGCTATTAAAAAGGATAAGTATATAAGTTATTTAAACAATAATAGTTTTGTTATATGTATATGTGTCGGTCTACAACTGTATAGATTCAATTTATGCTTATTTAGGTTAGTGCATATAGTACAAATTCGTAAAAAAAACTACCTTGCGGTTGTTCAGTGATATATTTATGTTAACTTGTTATTACCTTGATGTAGCTTAGTTATATGATTGTATTTGCTCATTCTAATTATACGATATATGTATATGTACATATATTTATGAATAAGTTAAAACTATTTTATTGCTTAGAAACAAAAATTCAGAAACCGTATAGACATCATGTCCAAAATTAATAGACAAAATAAGAATTTAAAAATAAACTAATAGTCCAACTATATAATGAGAGTCAAATAAGTATAAACCATAATAAAATATTATTTCTCAAAAACTATAGCTAATAAATTGTATCGACATCAACTTCCATATTTTAAAAATAAACCAATATCCAAATTTAATAAAAGTATTAAAAGCAAGCCTATTGGCATATGCCAACATTATTCAATCATACTAATTATTAATAATTCAATTCCGTCATTTGTCTGGTCGGTCAGTAAGTATATTTTCAAGGTTAACCAAAGAAGGCTTGATATACTTGACCTTGTATGGCGGCAATAGGGCGTGATGGTTCTTGGAAGTTCGCTCTTGCCCCTTTTCTAGGTCTAAAATACCTTANAAAACTAGTGTTGATACCCGTGCGATGCACGGGTACATTACAAAAAATATTTTTCATTTAAATATTAGTTTTTTATTTAAGAAATTATATTCTCCACAATATTCTACTCAGTAATAATATGATATTTATTTATTTACTGTTATTGTTAATTTCTATTTTTATATATATATTGTATTTTTTGACTATTTAATATATAAATTTGATTATTTATAAGTTTATAAATATTATAAATGTATAAAATTATATGATATTTGCATACAAATTACTTGTATGTACTTATAAAATTGTCGTTTATCATAGTCTTATAATTTTTTCAACAATTCATAATATGCACATTGCTTGATAATTGACCAACGTTTAACACATAATATTTATCTTCCGCTATAATTATTAAGTGTATTAAATGTTAAAAACATTGATAGATTAATTTTAATTTTTAGTAATGTTGACGGGTGTTTTTGGTCAACGGTTAAAAAAGATAAATAGTGAAAAATTAACGAGAAAAGACAAAGAAATACGGTTTAATTATGATTTTATTAACTGATCACGAGGTCGGCCTCTCGTACGAGGTCGACACTTGCGATATACTTACAAATTCTTACACAAATTCCTTACAAGTTTTAGAGAGAGAAAATGTAGAGAGAGTCAAGACAGTTGGGATTCAACAACCCAAAATAAATGCTCAAGACTCCTATTTATAGGGTTCTTAAATGTGATACTGTTCGGGTACTGTTTACGGGTCTTGACGTACAGTAGTTTGGCAGGACAGGCCGGCGTTTCCCTGCCTGATTAGGAGTGATTTAGGGATCTTCTAATCATTACCTGCAACGCATTTAATGCTGGTATGTGCTGCATTTAATGCGGACATGCTCCTCGGCCGGGCTAGACCTCCTAGACCTACAGGGCTAGTCTGGGATGTCCCATCGGCAATCATTGGTTGACAAGTGGCCTTATTTAATTATTCCTGGATCCTTAACCCCTACGAGGGCCGATCTGGTAGGATCCCGAGTCGGGCTATGATAGCCTGCCCGTCCTCCGGTCTTCCGGATCCCTTATCTGAGCTGGCCGGCCCCATAACGAGAGCACTGGGGTGCCGACCTCGGGGCATGACATTGTCCGCCATTCCGGTCGACTTGGACTCATACCTAACTCGGCACCTGCAAATTGACACGGTAACCGGCCCCACTGGTCGGACCGGCCTCACTCGGTTCCCGGTCTCTCGGATCGTTACCTTTATGGGGGCCCGATCCGGATATCAACAAGTAACTTTAATCCTTATTCAACACACAAATTTTTAATCGTTAAATATTTTATTGTTATGTTTTTATTTTTTATTTATATTTATTTATTTAATTCATTTTTTCAACCTATATAATGAGTTACATAGTATCTATTTGAATATTTAGATATATTATATATTTCCATAATTACAAAGTGCTATAATTTAATTTATTATACATTGCTATTTTATTAACTTATTTTTCATTTATAAAATAGTATATAAAAAATATATGTTTTAAAAAATCGAATAGTTTCTTAATATATATAGATACTTATAAGGTGAAATTTATAATTCTGAATTACACGCGACCATTAAATTTTATTTCTATTAGTATATTATTTAAATTTTCAATCGTATTATAACTGCATATGATTTATTCGATGGGGATGTACCTTTTTATAGTTAAATTGACTACATTTCAAAAACTTTTATAAATATTTTAAATTATTTATTAAGTTAGTATGATTTAAACATAGTTATTCTGATTATTTTATTAAATAATTTAAGTACTTATGAATAGTGAATATAATTAATTAAACTAATACATACAACCATAGATGATAATATACTTAATAAAATCAATTTTCATAATAATTTTTTCTATTGTGTCAATAAATTACTATTAAATAAATTTAAGATCTTATTGAAAATATATCTAATAAATCTACGGTCAAAATTTCAATTTAAGCCAATTTGTAGTTAAAGAGTAATAGTCATTGAGTGTATAAAAATTAATTATGTTTTGCATGCATAAGATTTGCTAATAAATAAATATTAATTAAATGTCAAATATAGACAAAAAAAATTTCTGCCCAAAATCATGTTAATTATGGCAATAAAGATTGGTCCATGATATAGATATAGATATAGATATAGATGACTTAATAGTTATAATTTGTATCGAAATTATCCCTTATTTCATCATCATGCTCGTCGACCTTTACCTTTTCCTTCAAGGCATTGGCTTATTGAGCAGTAAATCCAGGCTAATCATCTAGAAACTCTCCATTAAGTTGCGTTTTGCATTAGAAGTGTCACCGAGACTTTCGTATTTCTAATAACCTTCAAGGGGTGAAACCTCGTCTTCCCGATCGAATCCTATAAGAAATTTTAGATAGTATAAGAAACCGTATGTAGCACAAAAATAACTCAATTGGTAAAAATTGCATCAAATATTAATAAAAAATGGCCGANTTCCATTGTTATTTTTTTGTATGATGAATTTTCATGGACGTTCTTGTGTGATGAATATTCAGGTGTCGGATAGAAGAGGGACACAATTCGAAATTTGATCATGGCCCTATTGGTCTTAGTGATATGCTTGATATTACCCCACGGCTTTGTCATTTTTTTTGTTTTATATTTTTCTTCTTCTTTCTGCTAATATTGGATCACTATGTTGGGATAGTGAATTAAAAAATCGGAGGGAACGATCCTTTTTATAGACAAATATAAGTGATTGAGACGCTCAAAATGATAAGGTCATAAAGACAAATTATGATTCATACGTTGAGCTTGATAAGATAGAACAAAAAAAAATTAACAATTAAAATTTGGCTATATTTTTGTACAATTTGTCAGGTGTATGAGACATTCAAATGATAATAATGTTTTTATATTATTCCGTAATATTGGGTTATGAAAATTAAGATTAATAAACAATATTTATTACACTGAAATCCTTCATGTAACTCAATTGATGTTGAAAGACTTTTACATTGAAATTTGTGTGAAGAAGAATCACTTAAAAGAGGATTTCTGGGTTATCTTTGTTAATGGCAGTCCTGAAGTGAAAATCATAACAGAACAATTTGAGGAACTGCAATCAAGACTCAAACAGTGGGTAAAAGATTGGTTTTTTACATACTTTTCATTCGTTTTTTTTAAATTTTCTCTTCCTATTGAATATAGAAAAGACTATTTCGTGAGACACGGTTAAAATGATGTTACTAATAGTCATTAGAAGAATCAATTGGATTCAACTCATTTTAAGACAAGTTTCAATTTATCAACTCATTTTAAGACAAGTTTCAATTTATCGATATTTAGTTTTCTTAGATATCAAAATTAATAACTTTTCACTTTCCTAATTTAAAATTATTAAATTTCAATTGAATATTATATACTCCAATGAATTTAAGACATATATTTAAGTAAAGAAAAAGTTTGGAGTTTTAACGTTTATTTTTTGTGTTAAGAAAGAAAATATTTCCTCCATCCTTAAATTTGTTATTTTTAAATATAAAATTTAGATATTTANGGAACATTTAACACATTTTGTCCCGAGCCTTAGAGCATCTTTAACAATAACTCCCCAAAACCTCCTTTTACATTTCCCAACATGTTGCATCATCTAAAACCCCATTTTACCTCCTACACACATAAACCTCCAATAACAATAAATCCATAAACCTCCTTTTTATGGTCGCACATGTTTCCCACTCAACATTATACTCTTATATTTTTATTAATATTTTTACATTACAATTCCTCTTTTTAGACTTTTTAATATTTTTTATTGATGTTTATGTAAGGTTTAAAAATGTAAATCTGGTTTATTCCCTTACTCATGACTGTTAGACCTTTAATGCCATGATTGTTATGATGGAATGACATGAGAATGTAATGTTCATTGCCTTAATCATCTTTATCCTATGATTGATATATTTTTTGGAAAGGAATGACCATTCAAATGGGAATTGCAAAACCCATCTACATGGATTAGCCATTCCACAACAAATGCAAGGTTTTTTCAATTCCCATATGTGTAGGAATTAATTTCTTAAAAAATAAAATTAAAAAATAATAATAATAAATAAATATATAATATATACTATAAATAATGATTAAATTATATTAAATAAAATAATTCCAAAAAATAAATTTCAAATAAAAAATTTAAAAACTTATTTTTATTTATTGTTCATAGTTTAATTAGATATATTAAATACTTATACAACAACAACAACAAACCGTTAAAATCTCACTAAGTAGGGTCGCTTATGTGGAATCGTGCTCGATCAAAACACACATCCACATTCAAATTTAAATATTTAAAATTATTTTTTATTATTTCCTTCCATTTCTCTTGGTCTACCCTCCCACTTTTGATTTACGTTCTTAATTCTAATATTTTTAAGTCTCTCCTACGCACATGCCCAAACTATCTTATATAAAAAATAAAATTAAAAATATATTTATAAATATTTTAAAAAGGTATTATTTTATTTTTATAAATCGTATATATTATACATTTATTCATAAATTGAATTATAATATAAAAAATTATATTCGACTACATATGCTTATAGGGGTTTATGCAATGCTATATTTGTATTAGCTAATATGTATATTAATACACAATTCACTAATTATTATATAATATATATGAGTGTAAAAATACAAAAATATATTTATTAAAATATAGTATATTTAAAAAAAATAATTTTGTTATTATCATAAGTAAAAAAAAAGTAACATTAATATTGTTTGTCCTGTTTTTGTTATCTTTTTCTTGATTGGTTTATAGGTTCTTAGCCCCCGGTTTAGGTCTTTTGATAGGATTTTCGGTCCTCGAGTTGTTGGTTTTGTGTAGTTGTCGTTATTCCTTTATTTTCATATTTTCGGTTGTTTCCTCTGTTTTCGGGTGTTATTCTTGTTTTTGGAGGTGTGCAGGTTCGGGTTTTTGAGAAATGTTCAAGTTTACCCAGTCGAGCTATTCCGGTTTTACAAAACACCTGTGAGTCTTCCTAATGCCACGCCAAAAGATCCCTTCCAGACCGCCGCGCCGGGCCCTCGCGCCGTGACACCCTTAACGGGCCTTCAGACGGACAAGTTTTTCTCGCCACGCCGCTACGTCCCTCGCGCCGCTACACTTCCCTGCTCCACGATGGCCGCCACGCCGCGACGATCTCCACGGGCATACAGAGGCTCCAGGTCCCTCCAATTGTCGCGCCGCGTCCCTGCCTAGCGCCGCTACGAGATCGATCGCCGCGCCGTGTCAGACCGCCGCGCCGCTACGAACTTTCCTGCCGCGCCACGCCGTGACGAAGTCGCGCCTCGCGCCGCGGCGCCTGATATTTTGAACGTCTTTTGAAATACTAATCTGATCGCTACAAAATAGGATCGCGGAGGGTTTTCAGAATTCATTCTGCACTTTTCATTTTTCTCTCGTTTTATCAGACGAAAACTTGTTCCTTTTATCTTTGCTTATCTTTGAGATTTTTGGGAGTGACACCCAAGGATTTTGATCGTGGATTCAGATTGTGCTTGAGATTAACACTCTTTATTTATCTATCGTAAGTTTTCTTCTCATTTGACTATGAGTTTAGAATATTTACTGTATACAATATTTTGTGTTCATCTTGACATGAGTGGCTGAATCCTTGAGCTAGGGATAGGGGAAGATTACTCGTGTTTGTGTGTTTACCTTGCTTACGATTTTTGTTCGATCTATTCGAGTTGAATTAAACCTAGGGTTAGATGCTTGATCACCATCCTGACCTATTTAATTGACTTGTAGAACCGAAAGGGGAGAAGTCGATCGATCTAGGCTCGATTACAGTAGGCTTGTTCGTGATTGTATTGCCTATGTGTTGTTTGATTGGTTTGATTTACCGTCTATGTTTTCCCTCTTGTTACGAACAGTTATTGAGGATTAAACTCTAGACGTGTAGGTTGATCGAATTATTTAACTGAACAGTCTTAGCTTGGTATTTACATTGGATTCGAGAGCAATCATCCCTGATTCCCTAGCATTCTCATACTGATAAGTAACTCGTTTTAAGTCATTATAATCGTTCATTTGCGTTATCTGAGAATTAGTAGTCGATAATTAAAAATTAAAATCATCGTATTAGAGTGTTTAGGAAATTAATTTCTTCTTCTTGTGATTGAATATACGTACGAAATAATCCGACTAACCTTCCTTGAGACACGACCCGGGGATTGAATCATTTGGTTTAACTCCGGTAAAAATAACTACAACAAATATAAATATTAATAATTTTTATATAAAATAGTGATAAATGATAAAATAGAATGATATTATCATTCCATCCAGGTCTTATTCGTTTTGTATATCAAACACATGAATAGAAAAAATGGTTTCATTTATTTCCTACATTCATTCCATTATTCAACTCATTCAATTCCTATCAAATTGTATTCTATTATACCAATCATGCCATAAAAGTGAGTTATAAACTTCACCAAAATCTCTTGTTAATGATGCACTTATCAAAATTAAGGACCGACTCTGTACTTAACCAATATCAAAGTTCAAATTAAATTTGGCATCTATAGTTGACTAGGTCTAAAGAGATTCCAACAATACAACCCATTTTCTTGATCATTTATGCGTGCTGGTGCTGCCCATTAGTTGAGTTCAAAGTCAACGTTCCACAGCAGTCTCATTCATAGATTACACATTTTCGGGGGCGTTGACCAACGACTTCTCTCCTTGCCTGCAAGTTGTTGATGCCTTCTTTTGCTGAAAATAAACAAAAACGTAAGTAAATAACAATACCGGATACTGATAAATTAACTAAATAACCAGTTTTTACTCTAACATTCTACTTTATATTTAAAAAGAAAAATCCATTTTTCAGACATCAGGAAAAAGTTCAAAGTGGGAAAAAAGCGATATTATATCAGATTCTTCTATTAATTTATCTCCAAGCAATGCCATAATCGAATATTTCACAGATTTGACTCTAACCAATGCCAACTTTTCACACGGATGTATATAGATTCATACGGATATCATTTACACAAAATTTTTATGTGAGGTAAACAACCAATATTCAAAACTCCAACTATATATATTATTATAAATTGTAAAAACCTATATTCAAAGAAACTTTCCAATCTAAAAAACAACCTACATTCTAAATTACAAAACCCCTTCACATAACTTCTCTTTAGTTTTCTCCAATCAAATTGCACAAAAACAATAATAAATAAAAAATGAAAATGATAAATCAAATTTCCATTTTCCTAATCTCCTTCATCCCCCAAATCCTCGCCCAGCAGCCCTACATCCGGCAGGCGACGACCCTCTGCGACAGCCGGGACAACTCTACCTCCGTCCTCGGCTACACCTGCAACGGCCCCACACCCACCTGCCGGGCCTACCTCACTTTCCGGGCCCAGCCCCCTCACGCCTCCGTCGCCGCCATCTCCGCCCTCCTCTCCACCAACTCGTCCGACCTCGCCCGCCTCAACTCGGTCCCCACCACCACCACCTTCGATTCCGGCCAAACCGTCCTCGTCCCCGTCACCTGCTCCTGCTCCGGACCACTTTACCAGACCAACGCCTCCCACACCGTCGTCTCCGGCGACACCTACCTCATCATCGCCAACAACACCTTCCAGGGATTGTCCACCTGCCAGGCCCTCCAGGCTCAGAACCCGATTCCGGCCCGAGATCTGCTCCCGGGCGAGCGGCTCACCGTCCCGCTCCGATGTGCGTGCCCGACCCGAAACCAGTCGGTCAACGGCGTCAATTACTTGCTCAGCTACCTAATCTCCTTCAATCAGTCTCTATCGACCATCAGCGCTCAATTTGGGGTCACCGACGACGAAATCCAAGCCGCCAACGGGTTATCACCGTCGGATCTCATCTTCCCCTTCACCACCATCCTGATTCCTCTCCGGAACCCACCGACGCCATCCCAAGTCACATCTCCTCCTCCTCCGCCGCCGCCCTCCCCTCCTCAATCCTCCGGCGGCAGCGGCTCGAGCCGCACGTGGGTGTACGCACTGGTCGGCTCAATCGCCGGCCTATTCGCTCTGTTCATCCTGGGCACTGTCGTTTTCTGTTTATTCTTCCGGAAAAAGAAAAACCAACCCGGAAAAAAACCCGACCCGGCCATCCCATCCCAGAGCTTCGACTCGGTGGTAAAGGAATCGAACGGGGAATATTCCGGGGACTTCCTCTCCAGCCTCTCCAGCATAGCCCAATCCCTAAAGGTCTACACATTTGACGAGCTCCGGGCTGCTACGAACAATTTCGGGCCCAACTGCCAGATCTCGGGCTCGGTCTACCGCGGCACAATCAACGGCGATTTCGCCGCCATCAAGAAAATGAAAGGCGACGTCTCGAAAGAGATCAATCTCCTCAACAAAATCAACCACTTCAACCTCGTACGCCTCTCTGGAGTCGCCTTTGATGAGGGCGATTGGTATCTCGTATACGAGTACGCCCCAAACGGGTCCTTAAACGAATGGATTCTCGAACGAAAAAAGACTAACCTAAATTGGAACACAAGATTGCAAATTGCTCTAGATATAGCCGCCGGATTAAACTACCTCCACCGATATGCCTCACCGCCTCACATCCACAAGGATTTGAATAGCGGCAATGTGCTTCTCGACAAGGATTTCCGAGCGAAAATCGCGAATTTCGGGCTCGCGAGATCGGCCGATGGGGAGTTTGCGCTGACGAGGCATATCGTGGGGACTAAAGGTTACATGGCGCCCGAGTATTTGGAGAACGGTGTCGTGTCGACTAAACTCGACGTGTACTCGTTTGGGGTCGTGTTGTTGGAGATTCTAAGCGGGAAAGAGGTGTATGGAGGGGTGAAAGCGCAATTATCGGAAGTTTTGTGGGAGGAGGATGGAGGGAGAAGGGAGAGTTTGAGGGAGTTGATGGATCCTTTGTTGGGAGGGGAATATGCGGAGGATGTTGCGGTGGTGTTGTTGAGGATAGTCGAGAGTTGTGTGGAGCGGGACCCGGCAGATCGGCCGGAGATGGACCATGTTTTTAGGTCTCTGTCGAGGGTTTCGGCTTCTGCAGCAGTTGGTGTACCAGGATATGAGACTGGTCCTAGATAAAGATGATGCAGCTCTAATAAACCATTTTCATTTTTTGCAATTTGGATGTTTAAATGTAAGTGCAGGTATTTATTGTTTAGCATTTTTCAGTCATGAGTTGGATCATCTGTTTGTTTGTGAGAAATTTGTTGCGGATGTATAAAAAATGGGACAATGGTAGATACTAAAAGGAATTTTGATTTGTTTCGCCGGTATGTGAAACTAGCAACTTTGCAAACGAACATCGGATTAACTTTTCATGCATTCNAAAAAAAAAAAAAGGAAACCATTCGAGTACTTGGTCAGCGTACTACTCGAATGCATCTGCTTTGCTCTTCAGATAAATGTGAACTAAACTCAGAGACATAATGCGAACAAAAAGAAAAAATGATATCCAACTTTCGACTCAATGAATGATAAAAACATGGAACATTCACACTTATTCGCCATAATAACTTCTAAATACATTCAACTTTGTACTTACAATTACTACCGGCATCTATTTTTCCTATTTCTAATTCTCATGATCAGACTATTGAAATTTTATCTTCCAACAACGTAAGACTCCGTCCGCGGGCCATCATTCAGCACATCGGTGATTTTTCTTTTTTGTATTTTTCTTTTCGATATTTTTGGGTGTTCAATTTAGATGATTTATTGGGTTTTGGTGCTATTGAAGTGAATAATGTGTATTTGTCGATATAATATACTTTTTGAACTATCCTACTTTTTTTCTCTCTTAAAAATCGCGAGGTCCCCTTTTCCCTTGCAGGTGAAAACCTAATTTCCGCAGCGGCGCCTCCATTTCCTCATGCGGGAGCCAATTCCCGTGGTGGTATCGACATCAATCATCGATCCGAGGGTCGCCGCGGATGCGTTTGTGGTGGCCATCGGGCGGCTCTGTGGCGACAGTGGGCATTTGATCGTCTGGCGGTTGAAGCTTACTGCTTGTCGTTCTGCGACTATGCTCTCCGCCCCTGTTTCGGCAGTGGTGTTGGGCTAACAGGGGCTGCGGCCGGCAGCGAGTTGTCGCCGGCGAGTCGGGGGACCTGGTCGCGGTTTTGTTGGTGCTAGTCCGATAGTGACCTCCTGGTTAGGGCTTCGTCTTAGGTCCGAATCTTGATAGCCGGTCGTGTAGTTTCTAGGATTTTGGGTCGAGATTTGATCCCTATTGGGTAGTCATTTGGGTGTCGGCTTGCTTGAGGTTGCTAGGCAAGGTCTGGCGTTGTGGGGAGGGCTTTCGTCTTATTTTATGTTTGTTTTGGTTTAGTGTTTTGTGCGTGTTTTGTGTGTCTTCGATTTTTCTCTCTTTTTCGTAGTGTGTTTTTTGTCGTCTCCCTTCTATAGAAGTATTTTCGTCTCTCTTGTGGAGTTTTTTTAGTATCATAGGTGTGAGTGTTTCGTGGGGTTTGTCTCTTTGGCCGTGAAGGGTCATGTAGGGGAACACTTGTGTTTTCCCCCCATTTGGGTTCCTTTCTAGTCTAGGCTAATAAAGATTGTCAAGTGTAATCCGTTGATTACCGGTTTGTACTTCCGAGATGTGGNATTTAATTTAACTCAACTTTAACTCAACTCCACTATCTCCAATATTATCAATATAATTAAATAACATCAACCAATCATTTTTATACATCACATCAACTTTAATTTACTATTCATCCACTCACATAATTTTAACTAATCACCACTTCAAATCATTTTTCTCTTACTTTTACATTATATCAACTTTAATTATTTTATTTTAAATATTATTTTAATATATCCAATAACTACTAATCATACCAACTTTTTTTAAAATTAACTATAGTTAAAAAAAAGATCAATTAAATTCGAGATGAATTCATAAACAATCACCCCTAAACGCAGTTGTTCCTACATATACTATGTTCATGAGATGGACATTAAATAACAGGCCACTAAAAGAAAATTCTATAAATTCTTTCTATAAACTATATACCCAAATAATATTTAGATTATGTGAGGAAAATTAATTAGAGTTAATTCTAAAATTATGTACAATTCTACCAAGATTATAAAGATCATCCGTTACCGACATCAGTTTTTCACTATATAAACTATTATTTTTCACTGTATAAAATAAAGAATACTGAAGGATATTTTTACTAAAATAAAATAGAAACGTAGATGTTAGTACAATTTTTCTTTTAAGGTTGATTAAAAAGTTATATAAAAGAATGTTATGAATGAGCGACGGGATTTTGAGTATCAGAGAATGGGAAAAGGAAGAGTTTTTGTGAGAAAAGATGCATCGTACGTCATTCTCAATTCAATTATCAATGTCTGGAAATTATTAATGTCCAGATAAAAGAGGAGTTATGACGGTTAGTAAATAGAGGACATTGTTTTNAATGATAAACTATATTAAAACTCAAACAGTTTAATACATTCGAAATGAACTCCATGAAGCCCAATAGAGAAGTAAAAAGATACAACTCAACCCGCAAATAAAACCAGAACCACTAATATCTAACCTAATAAAAAACAAACGTGCAATACAAAATATTGGAAGCCACCTCAGAGATGTGGGAAAAGTGACTTGCCATAGATGATTGACAAGCTTTCCTCCCTTGCAGTTGTTCAGCCAAGTCCTTATCCTGTAGGTAGCAAGTGAAATCTTTGCAATCACGTGCAAGAACTTGCTCTAAACTCCATCTCACTGCTAGTAATAAAGCTTCTTGTGTTGTTTCAGCTTGCACCACAGGCTTCTTCCAACACCAAGATTCCTCTTCATCAACCGCATTGCAGATGGCTTCAAAACAGCCCCCAAAGAACCTAAGGCACTTACGAATAAGCTCTTCCGAAGTGAAGATAATTTGAATTTGATAAGCTGCTCCTCTCCATCTGCAATGTTAGATAATTCAAGCCATTCTGATAAAGTTTTTTCAACAATATCCTTTTCATGCCAATAAGTCTTGTTTCAGACCCAGTCATTTCTACCTTTCCACAAATTCCAAATCAGCAGGGCAGATCTGCATTGGCTTTCTTTGATTTTGCAAAGCTCCATCCACCGTTTTTGAAAGGTGGTGTTTTTGTTTTCAAGAGAAAACCAATGCAATCCAGATAGTTTCCAGATGGTCACAGCCCTGGGGCAGTGGAACAGGACATGTGAAATGTCTTCCTCACTTCTCCACAGACATCACATCTTTTGTCTTGCATAATGCCTCTAGATGCCAGATTGACTCTAGTATCACAGGATTTAGAGTTGGTCATTTGTTTGATCTTATTTTCGGGTATTAGCCATTAGTACTTAGTTTGCTATTTTATTTTATTTTGTATTTCTCTCTCCGATCCTACTCTCCTAGCATTTTTGCAAATTCTTTTTCATCTTCCTCACAAAAAGTATCAAAATTGCAAATTCTTCATCTTCCTCACAAAAGTACCAAAATTTAATTTAAAAAAAAAGTACAAAAACAGAATCTTAAGAATTGGTAATAAGAGGAATTAATCTCGGCACACATGGCAGAAGCTACTCGATTCAAAGATCTACGGGAAGCACAGAAAACATTAGATCATATTCTGCAGACCGAAGCAATGAAAAGAGAAGCATCTGAGCTTAAATTGCACGATCAGACGACAAAAATCACTCAGAGGTGAAAGACCAACTGGGCAACATGGATAAGAGGCTCTATGAAGAATCTATTCTTGAGAAAGGTCGGAACTGGGGTTGAAGGCAGTTTTTATAGAGTTCAACAATCTCTAAACAACCACACCCACATGTTGTCAGCCCTGTCCCTAAAGTTGATTTTCCAAACTCAGCCCAGGGCTTGGATACTCAAGTGTAATGGGTACTTCAAATTGGTACCCAGCATCCCTAGCCATAAAAAAGTTACCCTAGCAGCTATGCATTTTGAGGGCAATATATAGAAGGAATGAGCCATTGGTTAGGGGCAGTTTCTATAGGTTGTATCAGCTAGATTTGAGGACCTCAAAGAAACTAAAATAATAGCTAAATTTAACAAGTTGAAACAAACAGGCTCCTATGGGGGCTATGTGGACAAGTTTTAAGAGCTGAAAGCCTGTTATGTTACTCTTAACATAATGTTTTAACCCTCAGCACTCCAACAAACAATAGAGCTCGGGCAAAAACATATCAACACCCTTGAGGCTATCACCAACAAACTAACACAGAACCTTATCATACCTATGCACCAGCTACGAAATCTGAGCCAACAGCCCTAAACATAGGCATAAATTTCAGCCCAATAGAAAACTCCTATCAACTTACTTGCTGCCATTGGGATGGCAGCTAGAAGGGAAAAAAAAAAAAAAAAAAAAAAAAAAAAAACTATGTTATAATTGTGATGAGAGGCTTACTTATGGGCACAGGTGCAAGAATATGATCAATTTCATGATTATGGCAAAAGAAAAGGAGTTGGCCTATGTACAGGATGTTCCTGAGAAGGAAAATATGGGAAAATGACCCTGGTAACATGGAGGAAGCTGAAATGGCTTTCATAATTTTTTCATGAGTTTTGATTAAGATCAATCCACAGCATTGTCAGGAATAAGGTGACAACAAATGAATACTGGTAAGAGATGCATATTTCAGTATAAGTTTCAATCAAAGTTCTTGTATACAGAAAAGCCATTCCATTTCTCTTTTCGAACTACTAATTCAAGAGCCGAAAATATCAGTAACCTTTTTTCACAATAACCCATGAAGCTGAAGTTGAAACTATAAAAGAAACTATCTACACTTGGTATAAAACTGTCATACTCGTTCTTCTTTTGACGTATGAAACAAATAATACAGGGATCCTCGAATACATAGATGGCAAATTCTTCTCTTCTTTTGCTTCACTTCTTCTATCCTTGAATTTGTAAGCAGTGTTCCAAAACAGTTTAGCACTGGAATCCACCAAATTTCAGAACAATGCTTGTAGGATTTTTTTATTTAAATTTTTATCTATTTTTTTTTATTATTATTATTTCTAACATTTTGCTGCATATGAGGAGGGCATCATGTACAAATGCAGATAAAATTCATCATGAAGATTTTTTAACAAGGGAAGCTTCCTGTGAGCCGAATGTGATCGAGAGTCCTCTTGAGACCATACTTGAGCACTGCCTTATTCCCTTCTCTGAACCCATCTCCATAAGCAGCAGAAGAGTCCGATTCTATCTGGTGCTTGAAAAACTCACCCAACTTTTTCTCGAATTCAGACCGTTTTCCTTTTTTTGAGGATCCAGATGATGCTGATGATGATGTTGATGGTGATGTTGATGATGATGATGATGATGATGATGTCATTGAGGATGAAGCAGACGAAGAAGATGATGAAGTAGATGCCGTATTACTACCAGAACCGGCTACAATTTCAGAATCCAACCACATATGGGCCAACACTTGGCATATGCCTTCTTCTACGTCTGGGCTAAGATTTGGGTAGCCTGAAAAATGAAATTGATATCGTAAAAGAGTTTTCAAGCATATTAAAGCCCCCCCAAGGAAAAAAGAATGCTTTTTGATAATTACAAATAGCCCATTGTTATGTTTTTTATGTTTCAAACTATTTATTTTCTCCTTTTGGTAGTTCCTTTACCTCTGAGTCGTAGCCATGCATGCATCATCTCGTGAGCCAAAATCGACCCCGTCAACAGCCTAGAGAAAAAACATGTTGTTAGTCATTTGCATTTAGTATTAATATAAAATCAAGTGCAGCTACAAGTAGAAGAAGAAGAAAAAAAGTACCTGGGCAGACCGTATAAAATAAGGATTGCTGTTACTTCACATTTCCGTACGAGCTTATAAGGCTCGGTGAACATGTCTACTATTCGGTACCCTCCTATTGTCGGCCGCCTCAATATCTGAAAAATAATAAAAGATAATATAATTTTTTAATGCACATATATTGTAAGTCTGACCATTAGTTGAACTTTATACACGCTTAAAAAGTACACATACAGTGCTAACAGTTTGCTCTTCGGACAGGCAAAGTCCTCTGGTCTCAGGCATATGGTGATGACCCTGTCAACAGAATAAATATTGAAAATAAAAAAGAAGAAAATCAGCAAAATATTACAACTTGAGCGAAAAATTGATGTTATTCACAAGGAAATAAATA